AGGGGATGGCAACCATGACGACGACGACGACGACGACGACGACGACGACGACGACGACGACGACGACGACACCGACAACGATGCCAGCGCCGATGACGAGAACAACCCAGACGTCTGCGGCCCCGTGGGCCCAAAACTGAAAAAGAGCTGCTGGCGACGCCCACAAATTTCGATCATCGATCCTCGGTCCACGTCGTCGTCGTCGTCTTCCACGTCGTCGTCGTCGTCGTCGTCGTCGTCGTCGTCGTCGTCGATCATCGATTTCGGTCTTCGTCGTCGTCGTCGTCCACGAAAGAGAACTTAGCCTGTGGACCTGTCCTGGGGCGCGCTATGGCCAGGACCGTGCAGCTGATCCAGCCGAGCTGACGAGGGGGTCTCACGAGGCCCCAAAGTGGCCCGAGACGTCGAGACAAACTTGATAGCTGCTCCCCGCTCCTCGCTCCTCCTCCTCCTCCTCCTTCTTCTTCTCCCTCCGCACTCCTCCTCCTCCTCCTCCTCCTCCTCCTCCTCCTCGCTCTTTCTCCTCCTCCTCGCTCTTCCTCGCTCTTCCTCCTCCTCCGCCTCCTCCTTCTCCACTTCCTCATCCTCGTGTTCTTCCTCATCAGTCTGAACCTTCCCTCCACCAAAAGTAGATGCATACAACAACACATGGTGCTTTCAGGAATCTAGGGACGCATGTTCCGCCAGTGTTTGAATACATTGTGCCATCGTGTGGCACCCGCTGGCAGGCCGCCCTCTCATTTGATGTCCCCTGGTCGTACCGCGGTGCCCAGCAGGCCCGCGAGCACCATGTCCCGCACCTCAATCGCGGGGAAGCCAGCGCCGTGACGCCTGGGCAGGGACAGTCTAGCGCGCGGCTCCTCGACGTCGCCGCCGTCGTCGCGGGTAGGTATGTCCCTCTTCCATACAGGGACTCCTGCCAGTCGCACCCCTAGACGTGTGGGTGGGGCGGGCCAGGCGTTTCGTCTCGGATCTCCCCACCGCCTATGACACCGTATCTTGACATGTGGAGCACCTTAGGATGAGGGCGGGCTATTCTCGACACGTGGCTCTCGCATTAGCGCCGCGCACATTCGTTGTTTCCCACCGCTCGTAGTTTTTGTTATTATTGTCAAGGATGGAGAGGAAGTTCAAAATGAGGCTCTCGCGTGCGCGCCGCGCACATCCGTCTCACATGTTTGCCACAGTTTCCGCGAGGGTGGGGGGGCTCGTTTTCGAAGCGTGGTTGCCGCCCGAGCGCCTCGCACTTTCGTTTAACATTGTTGCAACAACTTCAAGAATGGAGGGGGCGTTTTTGAAGGGGCCCTGGATACACAAATAAGTACACACAAATAAGAGGATTGACAATGTTTTCCAATATGTTTTGGGTTTGTGTCTACCCCCCTATTTTCCCATATTTTTTGGGGGATCGACAATTAGTTGTGTCTGTGTGTTTTTTCCCTCCTGAGTATTCAACGTAGAACTCTCACCGTGCCGCCGCGCACCTTCGCTTCAAAGTTTGCGGCAGGCCCCGGCAGGATGGCAAGCCCATGCGACGCCAGTTTTTCAGGGTGGGCTCTTCTTGCAGTGAAGAGGAGGATCTATAGGGGCGCACGAGGAGAGGACTTAAGATAGGGGGTGTATTGCAGCATCGCTGATGCATCTTGGGGCTACTACTCTGCCCCCCCCCTACGTCTCCTCCGCATCCTCTCTCCGCCTCCCTGCTTCAAAACTTTTCACTAACTATTCATACTACTCCCCTCTCTCCCATGACTCTGTCTCGAAGATGACCGGCCCTCTCCGCGCACCGCTTGTTTTCGGTGATTGAAAATCGTGCTCCGGTGCAGCATGGGCCTCAGATTCGGATCGGCGCGTTGCTCCCGTCGTTCATAATAGCGTCCTTGCCCCAGCGCGGGCCACTTCTCCGGCTCCGACTCCGTTTTCATCGTTGTCCCCCCCCATTTCACCTCTTCCGCCTTCCCCTGGTCATCCTGCTCCCCCCGTTCCTTCCACTCCACCTCCTGCTGGTGCTGCTATTCGTCCTCGTCCTCCTCCTTCCACATCCTCTTCCATTTCCTCCTGCTGACCCTACTGCTCACCAGCCACATCCTCCTATGTACGCAGCTCCCCTGTTCCGACTGCGCATAACACGGTGGGGTTGGGTTTTTCTTAGTTCCAGGTCGACTACGACACGCGTCCGCAAATATAGAAAGATCAGCGAAGTGGGAAGTGATGGAAAGCAGAGATAGGATGTCAGATGTGGCGCGAGCGCACCTAGCTTGCCCCTACCCCCATCCACTCCCCTCTCCTCTCTCCTTCCTAATCCTCCTGTCCCTCCTCCCTTCTCCGAATCCTCCATCCTCACCCTACTCTTCTTATCCTCCCTCATCCCCACGCCTCCTCCTTCCCCCTTCTTGCCTCCATTCCTTTTTCTTCCAGATAACTCCTCCCTGTCGCACCCCCAGGGGTGTCGGCAGGGCGGGCTAGGCGTTTCGCCTTAGACTTTCTCCTCGCCGCTAACGATCCTGATGCTCGAAAGTTGCAACAGCTTCACGGATGGAGGGCGGGTGGTTTTCAACATGTGGCTCTCGCCTTAACGCCGCGCACAGTCGTTTTACAAGTCTGAAAGAGCTTCAAGGATGAAGGACGATTATTGTTCAAAATGTGGCTCTCGCTTCAGCGCCGCGCACATTCGTTCTAACAGTTAGAAGCAATTTCACGGGTGGAAGGCTGGTGATTTTCAACGGCCCTCGCCCGAGCGCAGTGCACATCCGTTTTGAATGCTTACATCAGTGTCAAGGGTTCGCCTGGCCGAAGTCCCAGGAATGGTGTTCTGGCAAGATCTGGGATGATCAGGACGCAAGAAAACACGTTGATTCGCGGTGTTATAGAACGGTGATCTGGTACGATGTAAGACTGCCAGGGCGCAACAGACACGTTGGGTCGCAACGCTGAAGTCCTACAGAGCACTCATTACCAATTCCGGTCAGTTCTACTTCCGGTCCTTTCCGATTTTGGCCGCGACTTGCACACATGAAAGGTGCCGACGCGCGGGTCTGCGCCCCCCGCGCCTCGACGACGACAGACCTGCACCCTGCGGCAAACCTCGGGGCCAGAACCGAAGCGGACCCTCGCCAGGGCCACGGTGCGCCTTCCGCCGGGGCCAAAAGCCTTCGCCTTAGCTTTCGCCGCCAAAGCCTCGCGAAGAGGCCCCGCATCGTGACTTTGGCCCGGGGCCCGCCAGGGCCGCGGTTCGCCTGGGCCCGGGGCCTGCCGGGGCCATAGCTTGCAGCAGGCCAAAGGGCCCGCCAGGGCCAGGACTTGCCTCGGCCCAGAGGCCCGCTGTCAGGGCGCGCGTGTCGCGGGCGCACACGCGCGCCCATTTTTTGGCTGTCGCGGCATCGCGCGCACCGTCGAGACACGCACTCTCTCTCTCTCTCTCTCTCTCTCTCTCTCCCTCTCACTCTCTCTTTTTTTTTTCTCTCTCTCTCTCTCTCTCTTTCTCCTTTTTTTTCTTTCTCTCTCTCTCTCTCTCTCTCTCTCTCTCTCCCTCTCTCCCTCACGCACGCACACACATAACTACGCACACGCACGCGGGCACACAAACACACACGCACACACACACACACACACACACACACACACACACACACACACACACACACACACACACACACACACACACACACACACAAACACACACACACACACGCACACACACACACACACACACGCACACACACATTCACACACACACACACACACACTCACATTCACACACACACACACACACCACACACACACACACACACACGCGTACGCACACACGCACGCACACAGACGTACACACACGCACACACACACACACACTCACAGTCGCACACACACACACACACACACACACACACACGCGCACAGGCAAGCGCATTCCTCGTTTCTAATTCCGGACATTTTTCAATTCCGGCCACGAATTAGAAACGAGAGGTGCCAACTGGATGGGGTCGGCAGCGTTGTGCCCACGAATTAGAAATGAGCGCTCTGTAGGAATGTTGCGTTGACACGATTAGGGATTCTCAGGCGGTTGTTTTCCAAGGGGGCACTTCCCGCAATGATAACACATGCTTGTAAGGCCGTACGAAGAGGGAACTAGACGGGAGGATGGATTGCAACATCGTTGATGCATCTGGGGTTTACACTGGTCCTTTCTCCTCCTCCTCCTCCTCCTGCCCCCCCTTTTCCTCCTCCTCCTCCTCCGGCTCCTCCTCCTCCTCCTCCTCATCCTCCTTCCTTCTCTCGCGAGCGGAGGGGAGGGGAGGAGGGGAGGAGAGAAGGAGGCGTGGAGGATGACGACGACAAACAACAAGCGTAACATGAGTCGCGCCGATCCACTAGTCACTAGAAGAGAGGCCGACACGAGAGCTTTGCTGGAGGAAGGGCCGCGCCACGATCGAGCAGTGGACCGAGGCAGAAGAGGCCCGACCGAAGGAGGACCGCCACACGGGTGGCCCGAGGGGGCAAAGCGAGGCAAACGACAGGGCTGAGAGCTGCATTGAACGGAAAGCCTGTGCGAGGCACCCGGCACCAAGCCGAGCGGCACAGGGTGTGGAAGTGCTCACAGAACACATCCATCATAAGAAGCTCACCCCGCCAACCCCAGCCACGATGACAACACGGCGTAAGGGTGATTCAAAGCTCGGCGCCCGAGCGCATCGCCAGCAGGCATACGGGACCGCAAGTGTGAGAGTCTGAGGGCGATGCCTGTGCCGCTCGTCTAGAAAGTCCAGCTCGAAATTCACAGCGCGAAAGGAACAACGACGAGCAGGAAAAGACGGAGGTGGAGGAGGTGGGAGAGAAGGACAAGGAAGATGAGAAGAGCGGGAGGGAATTGGAAGGAGAAGGGAGCGGGAGGAGGGATGGAGGAGGAGGAGGAGGAGGAGGAGGAGGAGGAGGGAGAAATGGAAGGAAGGGGAGGAGGTAAGAAAGGGCGGAAGTAGGAAGGGGAGAACAAAGGAGGGGAATGAAATGGAGGAAGGAGTGGAGGTAGGAAAGGTAGGAAGAAGGAATTGGGGAGGAGAGAGAGAGTGGGGGGGATGCAGGATGCAGGAGGAGATATATGAGGGAGGGCAGAGGAGTGAGGAGAATGTCAGACTAGGCGGGTGCATGCCAAATCTGATATGCTACACCGCCATCGCAACCCCTTCCGTTCCAGAAGACCCTCATACCCAAATAGCAACCGCACGATTGCACATGTCGCTGAGGAGGAGGGAGCAGAATGATAGCAGCCAGACTCGTAGTTATAACAATGAGGATGAAACTACCCGAACAGCAATGATATTATTACGAGTGGTGAACAGTTACAAAAAGAATGCGAAAAGAAGGACATGAGGATGCTAAGGAGGAGGAGAAGGAGGAGGAGGAGGAGGAGGAGGAGGAGAGGAGGAGGAAGGAGGAGGAAAACGACAACGACGACGACGACGACAACGACGACGACGACGAGCAGCAGCAGCAGCAGCAGCAGCAGCAGCAGCAGCAGCAGCAGCAGCAGCAGCAGCCAGAGCAGGGTAAGCAGGAGGAGGAGGAGGAGGAGGAACATGGGAAGGCGGACGAGGGGAACGGCGTGAGAGGGACGGCCACGAAAAGGCGAGGACCAAACCTGGAAGTGTGGCCCACGCCGGGGGCGAGAGCGAGGCGGAGGTGGGAGGAGGTAGGCCGGCCGGCGAGCGGGCGAGGCCGGTGGGAAGGCAGGAGACGAGGACGGAGGGAGACGCCAGGCCGCTCACTACAGTCGAGACGTTGACCTAAGGAACCCAAAATAAGGAACGAGGCCCCTATTCTCCATAAGTTCACCTTCG